TGAAAGTGTTTCATATAAATTTTCATTCATTTTTTGTTTTTTATTCATAATAAATTTCGTGAACAAAGAAATCAAAATGCGAATGTAAATTGTTATTTTATTAATTGATTAACCAATCAAATTACTAAAATAACTTGGAGCAACTTGGAGCAACTTGGAGCAACCCGGAACAACCTGGAGTAACCTGGAGCAACCTGGAACAAAAATTATATAGTAACCCGGGTTATAATAAATAATTTGCTCCTGGTTAGTACAAAAAATTAGAAATCTTAACCCGCTCTGTGACGGAGTGATACATAACCCGGGTTGATGCCAGAACATTATGCTCCGGTTAATAACCTTATCAAACTTGCAAATAATAACACATGACTAAATGTATTGTTAGTATATTTTTTTATTCATGTGAGCTGATGACAGAAATTGGTCATGATTACTAAACTGGCATACATTATATTGCATATGACCTGATACACAAAATATGTCACCTTGGTGTGTGTTGTAAAAAGCAAAATGCATGACATTCAAACATGTTCTAAAATACAAAACGCATATCATACTGACACATATCTCAGCAGTTCTCAAGCAACAATACAAATACAACCTATATAGTATCTGATGTGTAGATTATAATCTCTCAGGTGTGACTTGAGTTTTGTGATTAACCCATTACTCAACTGACTTGAGTTCTGCAATCTACACATCACACCTGAGACCATTATAGTCTAATATAAGTCATTTTTAGTTTATATAAACTAAAAATAACTAGCTACAACTATTATTAAAACTATTTTAACATTTTCTAGTAAAAAAAAATTTTAATGATATAAAATATATTTATAATTATAGTAATAGTTGCTTTTTAATAGATTATAATTTATGGTTTTTAGAAGTACATTATAATATTGGTTAATAAAATAATCATGATTTCTATTAATTTTTTAGGTGGTCCTAAACTTTTGAATAGGCAGTGTATGTGTATGCAAAAAACTTAAAATGTTATTATGATTCAAGGGAAGGTAAAGCAGAAACTAGAGAAAATTCTCTTATATGATTGGCTTAGTTTATTTGCATATCATCTACAAATCTCCCTGCTATTTGCATACTCATCCAACCAGTGTTATTGGGAAATCAATAAATACATCACAATTAGAAACTTTGAAATAATCATGACAATGGCTTCATGCACTGAATTGGCCTTATTGACTACATATACTTTTTTATTTTCCCAATGAAATTTATACCCTGTCAATTTGTTGTGGTCAAGAAACTCTTTCCTTAAAATGTTCTCTCCAATCTGAACTGCAAACCATACAAGTCAACACTTAAAGAAACATAAGGTCAAACTTTCCTTTCTTTTCCTAAGGGAAAAGCTAGCAGTTCTGAATAGTATGGACTATGTTATTGACTATTTTATTTGCCGATTTCCAACTGGAGCTTAAGGCATTTTTCTTAAAAATAAAACCTAGCGTTCGGATAAATTTAGAGATGTGATCCGTGGATAACAAATCCGTTCATCTGTCATTGCGGATCACTTTTTTTAATACCTTCGGATGAACCAGTTAATCTCGGTTAAACGGTTAACGGTTAAATTCATGTGATAAGTTGAACAAAATGTACAAGAACAATAAAAAAAGATCAATTGGCGCGAAAAAATATTTTCTTTTGTAGCAGCTATAGATTTGAACTTACATTATACGATATAAACAATAATGCCGTTCTTTCATGGATCACGGCTTAAGTCCATAAAGTAATAAAGAAATGACAAAAGTTACTACAACAGTTAAAATTTGTATAATTCTGTAAATTACATACAAGTGATCAACTCATAAAAAATATTTCTTATTTTATGTGACAAAATCGAATGGAGCCGTGATGCACTATGAACATGCATTTAGAGATTCCCTATTTTAATTGGCTAAATTTAATATTTAGATGTCCACGTAACTAGATTCATGAACGACATACCTTTATCAAGAAGCTGTTAGATCTCAAGATTATACTCTTTACTGATGGACGAAAATACTCTAACAATCAAAACTGAGGTCGGGAGTTGTTATTTACAGCATAAACGCTCTTGAAAAAACGTTTTTTAGAATTCGATTTTTTTTTTATTTTTATATATCAGGATAATACTATCGTTCCCTCAGGGACTAATGAATTGCTTCAGGATTTAAGCGAGGCAGACTTATACACAAAATATAAGAAACTTCAAAGGCATCTCGAGTTTCTTGAATTGCAAGAGGAATATATAAAAGACGAACAAAAAAATCTCAAACGTGAATTAATAAGAGCTCAAGAAGAAGTTAAACGAATCCAGTCCGTCCCATTGGTTATTGGGCAATTCTTAGAACCAATTGATCAACACACGGGGATTGTTGGTTCTACAACGGGATCAAATTATGTTGTTCGTATTCTGAGTACAATTGACCGGGAATTACTTAAGCCTTCTTCTTCGGTTGCCCTACATCGTCATTCAAATTCGTTGGTTGATGTATTACCACCCGAGGCAGACAGTAGCATTGCAATGCTTGGTGCAGACGAAAAACCTGATGTAACTTATGCAGATGTGGGTGGCCTTGACATTCAAAAACAAGAAATTAGAGAAGCTGTAGAGTTACCATTAACACATTTTGATTTATATAAACAAATTGGAATTGATCCTCCACGTGGTGTTTTGTTATATGGACCTCCTGGAACGGGTAAAACTATGCTTGTAAAAGCTGTTGCTCATCATACTACAGCATCTTTTATTCGAGTAGTTGGATCAGAATTTGTACAAAAATATTTGGGAGAAGGACCGCGTATGGTGCGTGATGTATTTAGATTGGCGCGCGAAAACTCACCGGCTATTATCTTTATTGATGAGATAGATGCAATTGCTACCAAACGGTTTGATGCACAAACCGGTGCAGACCGTGAAGTCCAAAGAATTTTATTGGAGTTATTGAATCAAATGGATGGATTTGATCAATCATCAAATGTTAAAGTAAGTCATTTTTAAATAAATCATGTTTTATCAAACATTTTTATAAATCTTGTTAAATTTTGAATTTCCTGATTTTTTATCTTCACAGGTGATCATGGCAACAAATAGGGCAGACACTTTAGATCCAGCATTACTTAGACCTGGACGACTTGATCGAAAAATCGAATTTCCTACCCCTGATCGACGTCAAAAACGTTTAATTTTCTCCACCATTACCTCTAACATGAATCTTTCTGAGGAAGTTGATCTTGAAGATTGTAAGTTTTTTTTTTTTTATTATTATGATTATTATTTATTAATAATCATTAATATTATAATTATTAATATTGAATACATTGAATTCGTGACATTTTAATTTTAAAACATTAACCTTTATTAACTCTTTTTTTTTTTTTCTTTAATTTTAAGTTGTGTCGAGACCTGATAAACTTAGTGGTGCTGAAATTCATGCCATATGTCAGGAAGCTGGAATGCAAGCAGTTCGAAAAAATCGTTATGTAATTCTTAGTAAAGATATAGAAAAAGGATATAAAGCGAATGTTAAGAAAGCTGATACGGACTTTGAATTTTACAAATAAAGCGATTTAACGATTTTAGATTTTAATAAATTTTTTGGTATTAATTTATTTTTTCAATAATCATTTGGATTATAGACGTTATATCATTATCATTATCATTATCATTATCAATTATTATTATTATAACATTATAGGATTTCGATGATAGAGATATTATTCTGAATTTATTAAAAAGGATTATCATTATGCGTTAAATTTTTCCAAAGATGGTCTTTTTTTTTTCTTGATATCATTGTGTTTACCATCTTTTAACAACTTTTTTTTTATTATCAATAGATTATTGTTAATTATTTACGCGAATTACGTATTCAAAGTATTGTATTATTCTTTTATTATGTTTAAATCATTCTCTAAAGAGTTGTTTATTTTATTACTTTGCAGGTATTGAACAATGGTAAAACGTCAAACATAATGCACCTACGGAAACCGTTTACGTCACGTTGATTAAAAAAGGAACGAAATTCTTTACTATATATAATATTTAATCATATGCATCAACATGAGATAGACAAGAATGTAAAGTATTGTACAGTTAAATGCAAAGCGCATGGTTACTAACAATGGATGAATAACCAAAAGACGTAGAGCTAGTGAAAAAAAAAAAAAAAGGAAGTGACACGGGAAAGTGCAAGAGATTTAATAATTTTATTCTTTTTAACTTGATTGCATCAAGTTTATGACATGGTCGTTATTTTTGACATTGGATCACTTTTTATTATGATGTATATATCAAGAGTAAAATATCCGCCTCACAAGCGCCCGACTTCATTGGGTGGTCTTTTGTACTTTATTTTGTCAAATTTTGGAATGGTGAAACGAATGACTTGCATCAAAAATTCCAATATTAGCCAAATGCACAAACCGTAGTATTGTTTTTTATGTACATTAAGGAATAGGAGTTTTAAAATCGGCTTAAAATTTGGTAATTATACAACAATTTTTACGAAAGGTCATTGTAAAAATGGTGTTACAATAATAAATATATAACTTTTGCCTGCAATAATTATATATAAATGGTAATCTTATCAAATTCAAATTCTTGGGTTCAGAAGAGCTATCCCTTTTTATCATTCCCCCCTAGTTCATCTTGATTGACCCTCACTTCGCAGGAGCTCGAAGGCGAATTTTAAAAGTATAAAAAAAAGTAAAAAAAAATTTCGTATAAAAAAAAAAAATAAACATTTATTTCAATTAGATAAATTATATACATATTCTTTTACACAATATATAAATTATAAAAGTTCATCTTTTCATTATATATATATATATATATCCGCCTTTATTATACGCTTTTTTAAAAAATTAAGAAACAATAAGAATAATATATACGGACGAAAGTTCTTCAAGCAGTAAGCTTCATCTCTCTAGTTACCTGTGGTAATTTTAGCTAATGTTATCTTAATTGTGTAATGCTTAACCATTATTTCTCTTCATCCCGTATGTAGAACCATAAAATAAAATAGACTCTTACATAAAATAGTAGACTTATATTTAAAATAATGAGTAACTCCAATGCAGGAAATAATATTAAAGTTGTGTGTCGTTTTCGACCACAAAACTCTCGTGAAATTAGAGAGGGTGGTGTCCCAATTATTGATTATGATGAAAATGGAGAAACATGTCGCATGGAGGTTAGCATTTTATTTCTTTATTTTATGATTTTACTTGACTTAATTGACTTAATTGATAATAATAAAGATAGAATGTCAACTTTTTAATAAATAAAATTTATAAAATTTTTGCTCGTATATATATATATTATTTCCTGACATTATAAACATTATAATAAAGACTTCAAAAAATATTTTATAATAAAAAATTATAATTTGAATTTCTTTTGACAGGGCAAAGAATTTCAAGGAAACTTTACATTTGATCGAATATTCCCACCGGATACTACTCAAAAAGCTGTATTTGACGAGTCTATAAAACCAATTGTCGATGGTAAGACTGAGAAAAAATTTTTTTATTCTTTTATTTATTAATTTATACAATTCGTGTGTTAAACTTTAATTATCTTTTATTTATTTTCTTTTTTTTCAATATAGAGGTCATTTCTGGTTATAATGGAACTGTGTTTGCTTATGGTCAAACTGGTTCCGGAAAAACACATACCATGATGGTAATTATATTATATTTTTTTTTATTTTTTTTTTTTAAAATGAAAAAAAAATTCATAATTTTGGTTTAGAATAAAGTTCTAATAAGTAATTTTAAATGTAGGGTAATATGGATGATGATGAATTTAAAGGTCTTATTCCTCGAATCGTGGAACAAATCTTTGCAAGTATCATTGCCTCTCCATCTACAATTGAGTATACTGTAAAAGTTTCATATATGGAAATTTATATGGAAAAAATTAGAGACTTGCTTAATCGTAAGAATTTTTAATATAATTTCTTATTGAATTATTGCTATTTTATCAATACAATAAAAATTAAAACTTTCTTATTTAATATTTTTAGCCCAAAATGATAATTTACCAATTCACGAAGAAAAGAATAGAGGTGTTTACGTTAAAGGTCTTTTAGAAGTTTACGTAAGCTCTATACAAGAAGTATATGAAGTTATGAAACGTGGTGGTAGTGCTCGTATTGTGGCATATACAAGTAAGCAATTCAGCTTCATATTTCTATCTTATATCAACATATAACTTCGAGTTATTTACTAATTAACGTACTCTTTTTTTTTTTTTTAATAATTGTTTGTTTGTAGATATGAATGCTGAAAGTTCTCGATCACATTCAATCTTTGTTATCACTGTTAACCAAAAAAATCTTACCGATGGTAGTGTAAAAAGTGGTAAACTTTCTCTTGTTGATTTGGCTGGTTCCGAAAAAGTAAGGATAAATTTTTTTTATTTTAGTAAATTCTATTGTAATTAATAAGTTTTCATATATAAGATCTAAATCTATTTTATTCCATTTTGTTGATTTAGGTCGGAAAAACAGGTGCCTCGGGTCAAACACTAGAAGAAGCCAAAAAGATTAATAAATCTTTATCAGCTCTTGGAATGGTAATTAATGCCTTGACAGATGGAAAATCAACACATATTCCATATCGTGACAGTAAACTTACTAGAATCCTTCAAGAATCGCTGGGTGGTAATTCCCGAACGACATTGATCATAAATAGTTCACCTTCTTCTTTCAATGAAGCAGAAACTTTGAGTACTTTGAGATTTGGTATGAGGTAAGTAACAATATTAAATTATCTATTATTAATTTTCTAATGCCTGATAAATCAGTTATTAATAATTTTATTCATTATAATTTTTAGAGCTAAATCCATCAAGAACAAGGCTAAAGTTAACGCCGAACTTAGTCCTGCCGAACTTAAAGCCCTTCTTAAAAAAGCTAAGAGTGAAGCTGTTAGCTTCCAACAATACATTTCAGCTCTTGAAGGGGAAGTCGGTGTTTGGCGTTCGGGTGGTAATGTTCCAAAAGAAAAATGGGCTTCGATGGAAAAAGGTTCAAGTTCTACTGCACCTCCTACACCTACTACTCCAACTAATCCAGCAATTGAGGCTGCCAAGAAAGAACTTGATTCTCGACCAAGCACCCCTGCCCCAATATTAGAAAAAGATGAAAGAGAAGAATTTCTAAGACGAGAAAATGAACTTACTGATCAAATTGCAGAGAAAGAGTCGATATTGGCAAATCAAGAAAAAGTTCTTTCAGAAATGAAGGAAGAACTTGATTCTTACAAGGTTCACGAGGAATCAATTACAAGGGTATATTTCAATTTTCACACAAATATATATATATTACAATTAGAAAACTATTTATTTATTTAATATTAATTCTTATTTATTATTAATTCTCTTAATTAGGAAAATAAACAAATGGTAACCGAACTTAATGATCTTAAGGTTCAATTAGAAAAGATCACCTATGATAACAAAGAAAGCGATATAACTATGGACAGTCTACGTGAAGCCAATGCGGAATTAACTAATGAATTAGACGCACTTAAGGTAACAATATTATAAAAAATGGCTTGCACGTGCTTTTATAATATATTTATATATATATATCTCTCTATAACATATTATGTTTTGAATTCAACAGAGATCACTTACGGATCTTAGGGCTGCCCAAAAGGAGGGTGATAAGGAACAAAAGAAACAAGAGAAAATGGCCCAAATTCTTGCTGAGCTTGATCCAACAGGAGTTATTTCAGCTAAAGAAAAACAAATCCGAGATACAGTACTTAAACTTGAATCAATCGATTCTGCTCAGGAGAATGTAACAATTAACATAGAAGAACTTATATCTGTACGTCATGAATTGGCTGAGTCAAAAGCATTAGTTTCTACGCATGAGCAAACGATCAACGAGTTACACCAAGAAAATGAACATTTAACACGAAAGAGAGATGAACTTGAGTATAGATTGAATAGTTTGGAACTTGAATATGAAGAACTTTTAGGTGATGGTTTACACCGTTTATTGTTTATAATTTTTCTTTTAGAATTATTCTCTGATATATTTAAATTTATTTTTCTTAACCTTATCAGACAAGACGATTGCTGAAGAAGAAGCTAATAATAACATCGATATTAGCGAGACGATAGCAGAGCTGAGAGTAAGTTAAATAAATATTCAGCAGGACAATCGCGTCATAATAATATATTTATAAGATTAAAAATAACATTAAAAATAATATTATTTTAACTTAAGGGCAAACTTGAAGCTCAATTTGTTGCCAAGAAAGAGGTACAACAAAAAGAAATCGATGAATTAAAACAAGAATTAGAAAAGAAGAACGAAGAACTACATAAACTTAACAGGTTACTATAATTATTTTTTATTTTTTTGAGACCAATATCGTTTATAAATTACGGCTGGTTATAACTTTATTTTTTCCGTTTTATTTTTCTAAAATGTAGTGCACTTGTTGATTTGAAGAGAGCAAATGAAGAATTACAGGTAAAGGTCAAACCGAATATAAAAATCAATAGTGGAAAATTTTTTATAAATTATTTTTCGATGTTTATTTAACGTTCATTCTATAAACGTAGATCGCTATAAATGAGAAAGATGCTAGATCCGAATCTCATAAGAATGTTGCAGAGAAAGAAAAGGATATGGAAAGAATTCGTAAGACTATGGCTCAACAGTTGGCCGATTTTGATGTTATGAAGAAAGCACTTATGCGAGATTTACAAAATCGATGCGAAAAAGTAGTTGAACTTGAAATATCATTAGATGAAACGAGAGAACAATATAACAATGTCTTACGTAACAACAATAACAAAGCACAACAAAAGAAGATGGCATTCTTAGAGAGAAACTTGGAACAATTAACGAATGTACAGAAACAAGTAAGCATTTTTTACATTATTATTGGAAAAAAGCTATTATAATAATTCATCTTTATTTTCTTTATAATAATTCAACATTATTTTTTTTTAGCTTGTTGAACAAAATTCATCACTAAAGAAAGAAGTAGCTATCGCTGAACGAAAACTCCTTGCTCGTAATGAACGTATTCAGGCTCTGGAAGCCCTATTACAAGACGCACAAGAGAAACTTACCACACAAAACCAAAAGTAAATACAAATAAAAAAAAGTTTCATTATTCTCATAATTTTTCTTACGAACATATTTTAAAAATATATATATTTTTTTTTACAAAAATAATTCACTTAGATTCGAAGCACAACTGCAAGCCGTTCGAGAACGATTAGAACAAGCAAGATGTACGTTTATCTTTTTTTTTTTTCATAAAATTTTTATATTATTCCCTTTTTAATTAAATTACTTTACTAATTTATTTATTTATTATTTTATTTTTAGCTCAAAAATCCATAAACACATCCCCTGGTTTCAACTTTGGCCGTATTGCCAAACCCATTCGGGGTGGTTCTTCCAATGGGTATAATTAATAATTTAATATAGTCTAAATAATAGCTGATACCTTTTTTTTTTAAACGTAATCATTATTCATCATTTTAAACCTTCATATAAACAGACCGGATGCTGGGTCTCCACTCAACAATAGCCAGTTTGGTAAGAAATCGTAATTAGTAGTAAAAAAAAGAAAAAGAAAAATAAGATTGGGCTGTTCATTAAATCATAATAAATCCATTCCTATATCATATTATCATATTGTAAAAGCCCAAGCACAGGGAAAGAACGATCGGCGAGGATCGTGGTTATCGAGTTTCCGTCAATCGCAATAACAATATGATATAGTTTTTTTATTATTTACATATAATATCAAATTTCATTTGGGATTTTTTTAAATTTCGTTATCTTCTATTCCTTCTTTTCCATTTTACCATATAATAATTTTTATTACCACTACCCAACACAACTACCTTTACCATTTTTGTACGTGTACTTTTATTTGTATTTTTTTTTTAAATTTAGAATTTTTTTCATTTAAGGGTTTAAGTAGTTTTGTGAATTAAGGTATTATTAAATTTCCAAATGATGAAATAAATTAAGAAAGAATTTTTTGTGTATAAAAAAAAAAAAAAAAGAAATTGACAAGTGTTTTAATCGCAGAAGAAGCATGACATGCAGCCGGATCAGCCCGAAAGAATTAGAGCACTGCAATTTTGAATTAAATTATCGGGCCCGGGCTGATCCGGCTACATTTCATGCTTCTTTTTTTTACGTGCTCTCGAATTAATTAAAATAAATTACGATCGAATTAATTTATTAACTAACCAACCTTATCTTTCCCTTAAATAAATATATATATATATATATATATATATATAATAGGAATTATATTTCTATTTTATTGGGCACTACATCATCCATGTATTGCACTTCTTCTAGGAAATGCATTAATCACCACAATTCGAACCAGTACAAAATCAGAAATTTTTCATCAATTATATAAAAATAAAAAATTATCATCAATTATTATTAAAATAACCAAAAATTCACAATGGAAAATTTTAACAAAAATACGGAGAATAGGATTCTTTAAGGTGCTCGTTCGATCAAGTTCAAAGATTGATACAAAATGGCTTTATACATATTCTTTAATAATAGAATTGTTTCAAATTTATTATAAAAAAAACAAAAAAAACAATAGATAATAGTTTGTATAATAATAATAATAATAATAATAATAATAATAATAATAATAATAATAATTAATATTACTGTATAATAAAATAATTATAAATTTTTATCGTGTATAATATCAAAAAAAATATGACCGAAATTACTGTATTATAAAATAAATAATTTAATAAAGATCGTTGTATGATACCAAAAAAATGACAATATAATATGTGGATCAATAAAATCTATAAAAAAAAAAAGTAAATCTCATCTAAAAATTTTCAACTGACAATGCATTTGTGTGTCATAAAAACGCATTCTTTAAATTCTTTAAGGCTTTTGACACAAAAAAAAACAATATTTTATCGTAAAAAATTTATTAATGGTTGGTTATATTATATTTCAATATGTAATAAATAATAAAATAAAAGATTATGGATAATAATAAATAATGAAAAATAATAATAAATAATAAAAATAATAATTGTTATTAATTTTATTCATATTTTCACCAAAAAGCTGTAAAATCACAATATCAAAATAATTCAAAATCTATACCACCTCAGTATCCATTACATTCGAAACAAACTTCACAACAATTTCAGTTACAAAATAATTCAAAGCCAACATCACCACAATATAAATTACAGAATCAAAATAATCAATCACAAATACCTCATAATCAAAAAGAAGGAAAAAAAAAAAAAGAGGGAAGAGAAGGAAATAAAGGAAATGAGGGAAGAGAGGAAAATAAGGGAAATGAAGGAAATGAGGGAAATGATGTGAAAAAAAAAAATTCAATTAAAAAAGATAAGCATAAAGAATTTTGTATTAAATATGGGATAAAATTTTCGAAAGAGGATATAATTCATCAAGTTTGTACTCATAAATCTGTTATCTCCAATACTGCACCAACAAATGAAAGAATAGATTATTTAGGTAGGAAAATAACAAAATAATTTATAAATAATATTTATAAATAATTAAAATTTAATTTAATTTAATTTAATTTAATTTAATTTTTAGGACAAAAAGCAATACAACTTTATGCAGCAGAATTTTTAATTGATAGAGTTCCATCTGATGAATTACATGATAGAGTTGAATTGTATACAAAAAATTCGGATAATTTAGGTAAAATTGGAATGAGAATGGGTTTACATGAATTATTATATTGGACACCAGTATGTAAATTATTATTATTATAATTATTATTATTTCTTTATTTATTTATTTAATTATCTCTGAATTAATCAAAATTAATATAAATGATGATAGATTAATGCGAAACAAGTAGAAGCTGCCAATCAAGAAGGATATAAATTAAAACCTTCCGGAATAGAGTCAGTTACCGGAAGAGCTCTTCAAGCTATAGTAGGAGCTATTTATCATGATCAGGTGATTAATTTATTATTATTCACCGTTAATTTTATTTTTATACTTTTGCATAAATTTATTCAATCTATTCAAATTTATTTCAAAAGGGAGATTACGCTGCAAGAGAATTTGTTGATAAACATATCTTGACAGCACCGATAATTTATCAATCAATTAATAAGAATTTTAATTTTTGGAGTAAAAATTATTAAATAATAACATTCACCCTTAAAATCATGTTATATATTTCATTTATTCAACTTAATCAAACTATTTTACAAGAAAAAAAATAATAATAATAATAAAGTTTCTTCAAAATTGGATTTTTACTCTATTTGGATGATATGTGAATACATTTTTTTTCACCATTTCATCAGATTCCTCTACCTTATCAAAAAATTCCATATATTTTATATAACTAAACTCTTTGGGTTTCAATCAGTTAAAACTAGCTGTTTGATATCTGCAGAAAAAGAATTAGTAAAAATAGATCCAAAGTATAATTGTGTAAATTTATTTTATGCAAAATAACTAAATCCTACTTTTGAGAGATTGTACAGGTAATAATTTATCTGCCAAACGGAACATTATAATTAAGGATTTAGAACCGTAGCAGCCACAGTTCTAATTAATTATTTTGGGGTGCGGATAAATAAAAATATGTAAAATTATTGCAAGATGATATTGATAATTATGATAGTGATGATGATTCTAAAAAGTAAGATGGAGGTAAAATATTTAAATGATATATCTATTCTCAATTTTCATTAGACTTTACATCTCACCAGCAGTATTGATTCATCTCGAAGAATTTAATAACAAAAGAATTCGAAGAACAACTCGTACCTTAACACTAGTTTCTCTCAAAGATGCCACTTATTTTTTAACCATTTATACGAAGTAAAATTATATTTTCCTTTTTTCAATAATATTGTAATGAACACTTTGAAATAAAAATAATTTAAAATAAAAGATAATTTCAATACTTCTTTCAAAGTTTATTATTTTATTCATTATAAGAAATATTACGAAATATAAAATTATATACATAAAATTTTCTTTTTTCTATTAAATTAAACACAATTATTTGTGATAAATCATAGCTTTATTGATACAACAAAAATAAAATACATTAAATCCCTTTTGTCAAGAAAATGTAAATTCGCTTGCGTAACAGATGTTCGATCAAGTACGTACCATTCCATATTTTTTTAAGAAAAGATTAAAGAAAATATAACTATCATAGAAAAATGTCAAGTTTCCAGTGCATTCTGATATACATCTTGCAATATAAATAAATCTATATAAAAGTTTTGAGGTATACCAATAGGAACATCACCATGGGCACCATTGAAAAGTGGGTTAGTGGGAATAGCTAATTAGTATTCAGGAATATTGGCCATATTACATGGGATTGCCCCAAAAAATCCGATTCCAGTAATTATATTGACCAGAACATTTATAGTATTTTGGAGATAATTTCGTGTAGGAACACTGTACCGAATAACTTTACGATGATAGGTGTTGTTGGATTTGGGTTATTTCGTGAATACAGCAGTGCAAGCAATGCAAAAGTATTATCCTGACGAAGAGGATATAATTTGATGGCCAAATATAATTGAATCGTGGTTATAGGTGCCGCCCAAATTCAAAATGCTAAATCCCAAATCCCAAATCCCAAATCACTAATTGCCGAAATCCCAAATTCCAAATTATGCCAAATCCCAAATCCCAAATACTATGAAAACTGAATTTTGGCAGCCAAAATTCCAAAATAATTTGGGATTTGGGCGGCATGTATAGTTCACAATGACATCTCTTTCAACCGAAACTGCTAATTGATCATTTCAGCCTCTCATTATAAAAGTTAACTCTCCTTGCACCATTGCGTGAGGTTCGTCAGGCATATCATAAGCTTCTATCTTTCCATCAATTAAGCAGTATTCAACAATAACGCTTTCACAAAATTTAAGATATATATTTAGTGATATTTCTTTATCAATGGCAATCCCTATACGTTTTACTATGGCAAGTAAGCGGTGTCTTGCAAGACCAAATTTCGAGCACCATTCAGAATATAGTTCTTTCTCATCTTGCGAATAAGTCGAATAAGTTGACATGATGTTTAGGAAAAATAAATTATTAGTGTGATATATTCTACTGATATTTTTAAGTTTAGGAGATTATTCTTAAAAATCTTAAAAATATATTCTTGCCGATCACTTTTTCGAGAAAAAAATCTATATTGTCTATATCGGGTATGAAAATCTTGTAATACATGCACGATTTAGTAAAGCTACTAATTTTCTGATATGTGAATAAATTGCCGAAGTCACAAAGTCAAAAAAAAATACATTACACGAAAAAATAACACATGATACATTATACGTTCCTCTAACCAAAAATCTTTATTAACATGATATAATAATATTCCATAAAAGCAATAAAGTTTCTACAAATTGTGTCACATTCTTCATTATTACTAGGCCATTGATACTACCTTTTGGGAGAGCAATAGTATTTTTAAAGAAGAAAGTACTATGGTTTAGCTGGTAGTGATCAAGGGGTATGAGGTATAAGGTGAAAAGATATGTAATTTTGTAGGATTTATGCTAAAGATCAAGAAAAGAAAGTAATGGTAGGTATAAGATTTACAAGGACAATCAATAATCATCACAAGATCGATCAGTTACACGAGATCTTAAACAAGATCTAAGTAAATTCAATTTATAGATTACTAATTTCTAATCAAAGTTAAGTAATTTATTTTATTGAAGAGATAGTTATTTTATTTAAAAGAAAAGATTGTTTTTATTCAAGATCAAATAAAAGATAAAAGATGTAATGTTAATTTCTTTATTTGATAAAATTCAATTTACAATTTAAGGAAAGGAGAAAATAAATTCTTAAGGGTTTTAATAATTAAAGGATGAATTAATTAATGGAATATTAAAAGGATTATCAAACTAAACACTCATTAAGTTCGTAATATCATAGAATTCTATCTATAATGTCACTAATTCACTAATTCACTCCACTAAAGTTTTCTCATTCACTGAAGTTCTCAAGAAAGCAAAAATCAAAGCCTATTTATACATTTTGATGAATCTACTCTAATAATATAAAAATTAATTAATCAAAGAATAACATTAAAGAAAACATTATAAATTATTCCTTTCCTATACAAAGCCTTATTAGAACAATAAAGAAGGCTTAAATAAATGTAGAGTGTTGATATAATTGATTAAATGTTGGTTAATTTGTACCAGTGTTGATAAAATCTAGTAGATCGTCAACCTCGTCCGTGCAATAATAATTTTGATAATCTCATACGTGACACGTGATAGTGACCGACACGTAACGTGAAACTCAATAAAAGAAAGAGAAATAAATGAAAAGAAATAAGAGAAGGAAAAATAAAAGGAAGCAATAAATAATAGATATAGGAGTAGAAATAAGATAGAAAATTTGTAAAATAATAATAATTGATAAAAATAAAGAAATTCAAAAAAATAAATAAAAATAGTAACACTCCTCCCCTTAAATTCGAGCTCCTGCGAGAACTCAAAAATCTGAAGAGAAATCAACCAATTCTCTTATTTTCGCATCGGCAGCTTCTGATAACAGCACTTCCTGAAAATCCACTTCAGTCATATGTCATAAAGCAAAACATGAAATATTTCTTGTTCCATGAATATTCCAAGTTCCTCTAGCAGAATACAATAAATACACCCTTCTACTAATCTGTCAAAAATTACAGAGCCTATTAGACAAGAGATAAGACCTTGCAACATTTCTTGCTGTTGAAGTAAATCCCCTTTGAGACATTAAAGAATCCAGCTGGTAATAAAATTGAAGTTGTTCGTCATTTCCCACATTATAATCTATTTGATTAATGTCATTACACATAGTTGCTACTTATTCTTTCCAACTATCTCCATGAGGATCAGGTAGACTTTCTAAATTCATACTTTTCCTTTGTAAATCAGAAATAAATCATGCACTTGGTCAGCATGACTTCGTCTAATAGACGAATTTTCTATATATTCCATTTCAGTAGAGAAAATCCTTAATGTCCCATCCCTCTCAAAATATACTAAAGAGCTATAGCATTTGTTCGAACAGATGGAAGAAACTCAAAGAAATCCATGTCCAAGTAATGGACAAGAGCAGAAATAACATCACGGTGTTTAAATAAAAAATGGGGGCTGTAGATTACGATCTCACAAGGAAAGAAAAAAAAGGTGGTACAAAAATAACTAAAGATTATGAAGTGAGAGTAATAATACAGTCAAGATCATTTCAACGATCATCCTTTATATATGATTGGCATTTGGTAATGGTAAATTTGTAATGCTAATTTACTATTGATATATATATATTTTCAAGTACATAGTTTCAGAATTTGGATCAATTCACGTAATCTGTAATCTAGAGTTAGGAATCGTCTTAATATTTAAACTCGATTAATCGTCATGATTATTCGACAATTATTCAACGATTATTTGGTGATTATTCGACGATTATTCGACGATTATTCGCAATTATTCGATTATTCAACAATTTTTCACGATTATTCAATGATTATTCACAAATATTCAATGATTATTTACAGATTTTTGCACGGTTTTTTTACAATTGTT